GACTCATGGGTGTGTCAGTCTGCGCATTGTTGGCACTTTGCTTTTCTGAAAAATTGGAATAGACTGCCATTGAGCAGATAAATGCAAGTCTACAGTCCAGTGCAGAGCGTGTTAGTTATGCATCTATGCAGGTTCAAACGCTTAATACACACAGGATGTACAGCAATACACAAATATCTTTACATATGAAAAAAATTAAAGGAATAAAATGTTACAAAAATATTTTTCATATAAAAAAATGCTACCTATATGCCTCCTTCATGCATTTTATTATAATGTTAATATTATTATTTATTATATGCATATTTATATTCGTTTTAATAAAAACAAGTCTGTCAAAACAAAAATTAGTTTTTTTAGAACACCATTGATAGTTTCAAAATATACTAACTGTCCAAAGTTAGAGGAATGCTGGAGGGGTAGCGGGAATGTGGGTAATCATGCATAAAGATCGAGATAATGAAAATTATGCAGATAGATCTACCTTTTACTACCCTGTTTTTCTTGCATGAAGGGATACCCTAGGACATATATAATAAAAACCAGAGATATATACTACATATACTTTTACTAAGTGCAAGAAAGACCATAACAATTAATTGGATGAAGCCACACCCTCCAACAACAGTACAGTGGATAGAAAAACTTGAATGTATATATAGAATGGAGTATATGACTGCTCAACTTCAACTAAAACTGGATATTTTTAAACAAAGATGGGCACCTGTTACGTTGTATCTGAATAGGACATAGTATTTCTAGCTCCCCTGAAACTGAAAATATTGTGTTTTTTTTTTATAATTAATTTTTATTGTTTTTTTGTTTTTTTTAATAATTGCTGCTGTCACTGAATTTTCTGTTCACTAAAAGGTTTTCATGTATAAAAATAAAGTAAAAAAAGAAAAAAAAACAAGTGTGTCATCTGTCAAGTCTATTAAACAACATCTGTTGGGTTTTAGAGACCATCACCATAATGGAAATAAGAATAGGACATGTATTTGTTTTTTTAAACACACTTTGTTATTATTTTTCATTTATTCGTTTGCTGGAAATTAGAACTTAGAATTTAGAAATAGCTTTGAAACAAATCTTTGCGCTTAAACTAAATTAGTTATGTAGGCTAATGGATGTCTTCAGCAGAGTGCGTACAACAGTTTCCTGAAAGTAAAGGAGTAAAAATTAAAAGTAAAGAGAAAGTAAAGAGGCCGGATGGAGGAGGCTCGTACTTTATCCTTGTGCTGCAGATGGTCTGTTTAACTGTTTTCTCGCTAGTGAAATGTTCAGTTTTTTTTCACTCAAGTCCACCATGTAAATAGCAAATGCACCACAGTGCAACACAACGGAGACGAGACTCTGATCGGTTTAATGCAGGTTATGCTCAAAACACAGCCATAACTCATTAAGAGAATAAGCACAACCCTGTTAGACCATGGGCTATGGCGCAAAGCATATTTTTCTCTCCTTAAAATAGCAAAAGTGGATTCAGACAGGCCGCTTTGCACCTAGATCGTTAAAACAAAGCCCTAAAGAAGTCAATGCTTACTGTTTTCCAACATTTTTCAAAATATCTTCCTTTGTGTTTAACAGAAGAATGAAAAACAAACAATTTTTAGTGTATTTTTAGTTTTAGGTTTAATGTCCCTTTAAGGCTACTTGAAATTTGAATCAAATCAGTTTTTTAAGTATATCTACATAGAAAACTGTTTATTACAGCTCATATTGCAGTTTTGGTCAAATAAATATAGCCTTTGGTTAGCTGTAGAAACTTCTTTTTTAAAACAAATCCTATTTACAGCTTCTTCTTTTTTCCAAACGGTAGTGACTAAGTGCTTAAAGTCTGTATTCAGCCCTGTGCTCTCAGCTTGAATAGTTTAGCGTGAATACAGCACTATATCAGGTACATTCTGAAGCACACATACAGAACTCATTTCAAGTTGAAACACCTAAACGTACACACTAAACACAAATTAAATAAGGCAAAAACATGGGACACTCCAGCAGTGAAGGTCAGACAGGCAGACAGAGAGGAAACGGTGACATCCACCATCTGTTTCCCACTTCATCTCCGTCCAGCCCTCCTCATTTTTTGGCAAACTAAAACAGCATAATAAAAAGAAAGAGAGAAAAAAGCTAGGCCATGAAAACCATTTGTGCCTGCGAGAGCACAAACAAACTCGCTTGTCCGCATAAATCGGGCAGTGGATATTTCATGAGAAGGTTGATTCAGTTTGGCAGTGATTTGTTCAATAGCAAACATCTCTCTTTTAATACGAGAGGATTATTTAAAGAAATAAGCAAGTAGCTATGCTCGAAAACGTGCTAAAAGAAATAAGGAACGAGAGAAATATGACAAGTTCTAGAATCGAATGGGACCTTGTGCTCTCCACATGCAATAAATCTTTTGGTCCGCACATTTCAAGGGGAAAAAAAAACATTGTTGAGATCACCGACTAAAAAGGGATGATCGATTAGCGAAAACCTGATATAACGGAATGATCAGACATGCCTCTTGCCAACAGCACAATAAATAACATCGGAATCAAACTTAAATAGTGCAAGTAAAGTGCAAGGCTATTATTGTAACCGTTATCATCGTAAGTATCAACATCATTGTGACGAAATAAAAAAACGAAACACTGATCACATCACTTGGTATTAGACCGACGCAGTGCACTTGTCCTTGAAACAGATGAAGGAGGGACGCTCTTAATGCCGTGATCTCTGGAATGTGAGCTGAAATAGCGGAACGGCGCGCGGCTGAGACAGTGGCATGGTCCATTCACAGATTAGACAAAAGAAAGAAGGAAAAATTAAAAATACACTGCCCCTGTCACATGCAGAGGGTCATCTTTTCACAGATCTGCCACGACGAACAACCCAGACGGACACACTTCTCTGCATCACATTGACTTCTTATAGAACTATACATATATTTATAGAATTATATATAGATATGTACACAGATTTGTACTTATATACAGGAGTACGCCTGTTTGTCTCTTGTGATGATACAAAAGAGAACTCTTGTTGGCTAATGGCGTCCACTGCACACATGGAGTAAGATGTTAGGTTATTACATCAGCTATGCGAGTATGGGTTTACCACACTATTGGAGGCATGCTAAGAAGAATCTCTTCCGTAGTAAGGTCCATTCAAAATGGAGATTCTGATGTCAGTGTAGCAATTTATTACAGGGATCGTTCACCCAAAGACTTTGTTCGCTGTGAATTTACTGACCCTTAGGTTACGCAAGCTGTAAGTGGCTTTTTTCTTTAGTGGAACATTAAAGAAGATTGTTTATAGCTGAAAATATAACATAAGGTTACCAGCGAGTAAAAATAAAAACTAAAATAAATATAGAGGAAAAGAATTCATTAGTACTCATGGCTTCAGATGATACACTGATGGCTCATGAAGCAAAGCGATCAGTCTATGGAGGAAACAGACATCATTTACAATAATATTAGCTTTAATTCACAACTTTTGACTGCAATCATAACAGTTTGGAGTGGAATCCTCCTGTTGCTTATACAATGTATTTTAAACATTGGGAATATAATAATAATAATAATAATAATAATAATAGCAGTAGTAATAATAATTCCGTACATCTTATATAGCGCCTTTCTAGAAACTTAAAACGCTTTACACATTGGGGGAATTTCCTCACCTACCACCAGTATGCAGCATGCACCTGGATGATGCAACGGCAGCCATATTGTGCCTCACACCACACACCAGTTGATTGGTGGAGAAGTATCAGATTGATGAAGCCAATTTTGGTATGGGGATGGTTAGGAGGCCATGATGGACAGAGGCCAGTGGACAAATTTGGCCAGGATGTCAGGGTTAAACCCCTACTCTTTTTTTGAAGAACATCCTACGATTTTTAATGACCACAGAGAGTCAGGACCTTGGTTTAACATCTTATCTAAAAAACAGCACTCACTGAGCAGTATAGAGTCCCCATCAATATACTGAGGGATTAGGACCCAGAAAGACTGCAGATTAAGCGCCCATGCTGGTCTGACAAATCACTGAGAGTCAGGACCTCAGTTTAACATCATATTCAAAAGACGGCGCTCACTGAGCAGTATAGAGTCTCCATCAATATACTGGGGCATTAGGACCCACACAGACCGCAGGTTAGGCGCCCCCAGCTGGCCTCACTAACACCACTTCTAGCAGCAACCTAGCTTTCCCATTTGGTCTTCCATGCAGGTACTGACTGGGCGCAGCCCTGCTTGGCTTAAGTGGGCGACCATGTGAGAGCTGCGGAGACCTTTTGGAATATGTTTAGTTTAAACCTGTTCATTCGAAACTGCATACGCAAATATAATCACATTTTTTTAAATATAGATTTCAGCACATAAGATAATCACAAGGAGCAATTTGTTAAACAACAGAACATGTCCTCACACTTATTTTGTAGAAATATTTTTTTCTATACTTTATGCAACAGGAAGCTCGCACTTCATATTGTCGTAATTGTTTGCTGAGGTTGTGGATTAAAGTTTATAATTTAGTTTTAAGCTGTATTACGGTTCTTGCACACACTGATTTACTCTATAAGTTCCTAAAGTGTTAGTTCACACAAAAACAAAAACGATTTTAGTTACTCCAAACCTCTGAGACCTTCATTCGTCTTAAGAAAACAAATCAATATATTTTAGGTGAACTCTGAGAGCTCCCTCATCCTCCTTAGACTGCAAGGTCTCATTCAGAGCCCAGAAAGGTACCAAAAACATCCTTAAACTTGTTCAGTGTTTTTTTTTTCTATGTTCAAGAATATTCCGCATGTTTATGAGATTGCTGCTGAAGTATCACCTCTCATGCACATGTGCTTTGTTTACCAAAGGTAGCTGCATCCAGGGGGGAGGATAAGTCACTGTACAGTGCTCCATATGCCGACACTGAGAAGAAGAAGCTGTTGAATAAAGTTGTTAGTTTTGTCTTATTTGCACACAAAAGTATTCTTGTAGCTTAACTTGATAATATTCTGACTGAAGCACCGAAGGCATATGGTCTGTTTTATGCATGTGTTTGGTACCTTTCTCTCAGCTCTCAGATTTGACCTAATATATCTTACTTTGCATTCTGATAACAAATGAAGGTTAACATGAGGATGAATAATCAATTAAAATAATTTGCATTTTGAGTGGCATTGTGGCTCAGTGGTTGGCACTGTCACATCACAGTAAGAAAGTTGGTGGTTCGAGTCCCGGCTGGGTTATCGATATCGCAATGTGATCATTTGCAATAGTCTCATAGCGAATATATGCAATGTTGAGTCTGGATTATAATTTATCATTTCATATAATTTATTATAAGTGTTTTTTGAGGCCTGTGACTGTGTGAGGGGATGCAAAACAAAGACTATGCAGAATTATTTTACATTTAATTATTCAATCACTGTATACCTGAATAAACTTTGACTCTTTGCAAAACAATATAATGCTGTTTATTTAATTTGCATATTTTTCTTCATTGAATTTGTGTCTATGCTTGTAGATTGTTTATTATATTTTATGCACCCGCTACAGAATCTTCCCATTTAATCTAAAATTATAGATTGTTTACAAACATTTATTCAACTTATCTAGTGAAATTGTATTAATATCGCAATATAAATCAAATAAAAAAAAAGTATTACAATATGTAATTTTTCCAACATCATGCAGCCCTAGCTGGAATAGTTGGCGGTTCATTCCCTTGTGGCAACCTCTGAAATAGAGACCAAGCCGTAGGAAAATTAACCAAAAATGAATGAATTTGCATTTTTGGGTGAACTAACACAATGTGTCATCTGAAGGCTCAGGTATTAATTTAGTTTGGTCTCCGTATGGTTTATTGTTCTCTATAGTTATTGTTATGTTCTCTAAATGCTGGTCGGTGTTAACATTCTTTTATAAAATTGTAATATTACACCAAAAGTAAAGAAGAAAATAAGTCACCTGCATCCTGGATGGTTTGTGGGTGAGTAATATAAACTGCAAATGTTATCTTTTGGGTGAACTACGGTATCTTCTTTATGAACTGGTTAGCTGATGACCAAAATAACCCAAAAGAGGCACAGCATGGTGGACCTCCTTCAAAAGGTCAGGCTAAAGTCCGCAGGATTTGTGTCAAGACACAAAAGCAAACACAAACAGAACAAAACAACAACAAAAAAAGGCAAGACAGAGCAAATAAATGCAAACATGCAGCACGCTCCCTACAGAAAGAGTTGTGTAAACGTTGCAGAGGCAAAGTGTTGAGAAGAAAAAAACACCCTTCCTTCTCCAAAATGTGTTTTGCCAAAGCCTTAGGCTCATCTTTTTGGAAGAATCTCCCTGGAAATATACCAATTGACATATAAAATGTTTCTCGTTCGTTCTCGATGGTTATCTTGTGCTCTCTGAACACCTTGAGGAAAGGTGATAGCTGCCCTCAACAGGCTTGTGTGCCTGCGCGCGTACAGTACACTCATATGGTACATGCATGCGGTAAATTGCTGTATATTGGGAGCAACGCTTTCACATCTGGGTGTGTGTAGTTTCTTAAAATCTAGAAATACATGTGAAATATCTGCCCCATGAAGATGAGATATTTTCTCTCGAACAGTTAAAATCTACCTAGATCTAAATGAGATTAGGTTAAACAACCTGCTTATTCAAAGGAATCTGCCTACCAACTTGTGTATGCTTGTGTTTATGGGCATAAGCGTGTTGTGTGCGTGTGTCTGTAAGTTGGCACGGTGCCACCATGTGGTCAATAGTTATCCAGCATGCCATCGGAAAAGAGGTTTTGCACGTCCAGCATAGCCGCCAGCTCCAGCACATGTTTCTGTAGAAGGCTGCTCTCCACCATCTCCTGTTTTGGCAGAGGGGGATACGATTCTGGAAAACTCCTCGCTTCCTGTAACACATGCACAAAAACGACATCCTCATCCAGCTGATATTGGTGGCAATATTGTGAATAAAACATTGCTTCAAAAAAGATGTAATCTTATAAAAAGTGATCTTTATTGTTATATTTTTATAACTTTCTACAATGAGAGGACCTGCATTTGTTCTTTAGTTTTGCAAATGTGGCTGAAGTTTTCAGTGATTGTCAAAATGTGGTGTAAACAGCGCCACCAGGTGGTGCATAACATGACTCACAATCACAATTATTAGAAAATTCTAGATATTAATTCTAAATATAAAACTAAAAAAATAATCATTTATTTATTTCAATAACTTTTTTTTATGTGCAAGATTCCACCGTATGCCTGCATTTCAGGATGTTAATTCAGAATTTCCTTTTACTCACTAACAAAAGAACATCTGTAATTAGTTTCTTTAGTTAAAGTATATTTATAATTGCACAAGTAGGCTTTAACCCTACTCCTAAAATCAACTCTTAACACTTTATAGGGCACTCATTGAAATATGCATTGGAAAAACCCTGGAATGTTACATTTATGACAAAATTGTTCCTTTATTAAACAAAAATCTAAATTATATAGTAATCCGTGTCAATCGCAATATATTATTAATTACCATATACTGTTCTTCACACAATAAAGTGTCTAACCTAAACATACCACAGCACTTTTCCATGTACAGTTTTCCAATATTTAGAGTTTATTGCATCTTTGTTAAAATGACAATCAATAAAAGATATTTTATATATTTAATTAAATTAATTTAAAACTTAAATAGTTTTTGTTTATTATGACTATATTTTAGACATTTTAGTATTTATTTTATTTAAAATGTTGTGAAGTTTGAAGTGCTTTTGTTTTTCTTTTATACATTTTTTATTTAGTAATTAATTAGTTAATTTAGTTTGTTTAGTTTAATTGTAGGAATTGTAAAACTAGATTATGAAATAATCAAGTATGAACTAATAGAAATATTCATATTTTTAAAAATTACAGTTTTAATTTAATAAATAAAATGACAAACATTTTAGTTTTAGTTAACAACAACCCTATGTTGTTCAAATGGCTGTCGATTGGATTAAGTTCAGGATAAGCACATTTTCTTAAGCCAAGATTTTAATTCTTAGTTTTCAAAATTTGTTGCCTTTTGGTTATGCAACGGTCTGTTTCAAAATACAATTTGAACATCGTCTGAATATTCTCATTCTGTGCTCAGCATAATTGAGTACACCCCATTTTGATTTTTATCGATTTCTCTGTGAATATACTGTAGGCAATGTATTTTGGTGCATTTAAATAAACAGATTTATTAAACAGTAATGATTATTAAATCAATATTTTAGTCACCGAAAATATTTAGAAACTGAAAGATAATACAACTAAATTCCAGCTAAATATTCAAAAAAATGACAACCTACAAAATTTAAACTAATTTTTTTTTTTGCTTTTCTTGATTTTTCCTCTTTAATTTTTTATTTAATATTTTCTACAACATATAAATGTGGGTGTACTAGTTTAACCTATATCGTAAGTTATTTTGCTAGATAAGCTCCAGATTTGGCTTCAGTACTGATTAATCTAATGTATATGCACAAATTTAATATTGTATAGCTTCCTATTAAAAATAAGAGTTTAAAAGAGAGATTTGAGAGGGGTGCACTCATATATGCTGAGCACTGTATATACGAAAATACATTTATTTATGCATTTGAACTGTGCTACATATATGAACTCATCAAAATCAGTGGCTCCGTCACCCTGCACATTTTTATGTCTCTTTTATTTGACAAACAAGGATCAGTTCATGGATCTCTCTGTTAACGAGTGTGTTAAGTAAGGACATGTAAAATAGGCCGGGTACCCCGAGGACTGGAATTGAAAACTACTGGTATAAATGGACAAACTCAAAAATGATCTGATTCATAACTAACTCCTTATTTAATAAAAGCTTCATGAGACAAATATGACTATCATCTTACTGATCATCATTACTAATCAGATTGTGTGTTATTTAATATGATCGGGTCTAATATTCCTGGAGTTGAGTCTCACCCGGAAGAGCTTGTGTAACCGGAGCGCGGAGGAGCAGAACACGAAGCGGATCATAAGCAGACGCAGAAACTCATCACCATAAAACTGCAGATACGCCTGATCTGGAAGAGAGTCAAAGGAAAAGTTATGAAATATAAATATGTCCTTTGGTCCAATGTATCACATACACCATTTAAAACCTTCATTTAAAAACTGCATAACGTGTTTACTTGTGTTAAGTTTGATTAATATTTGAAGTTGCTTAATGTCCTAAAACATTAAATTATGTGGAAAAAAGGAAAAAAAAATACAAGAAATTAGTAAGGGGAAAAACTTTTTTACACCACCTGACAAAATCTTGTCGCCTATCCAAGTTTTAGAACGACAAATAATAACTTGACTTCTAGTTGATCATTTAGTATCAGAAGTGGCTTATGTGAAAGGCAAAGGCCTCTAGATTACTAGATTTACCAAAATAAAATGTGATCATGCATCATATTGTGTTTGACTCCCATAAGCTTGCAAAACTGCATCCATACATCTCAACAATGACTCAGATAACTTATTAATAGAGCCATCTAGAATGGCAAGGAAAGCCTTCTTGCAGGACTCCCAGAGTTCAACAAGATTGTTTGGATTCATCCTCAATGCCTCCTCCTCCATCTCACCCCAGACATGCTCAATGATGTTCATGTCTGGTAACTGGGCTGATCAGTTCTGGAGCGCCTTCTTTGCTTTCAGGAACTTTGATGTGGAGGTTAAAGTATGAGGAGTGCTATCCTGCTGAATAATTTGCCCTCTCCTGTGATTTGTAATGTAATGGGCAGCACAAATTTCTTGATGCCTCAGGCTGTTGATGTTGCCATCCCCTCTGCAGATCTCTTGCACACCCCCTAATTAAATGTAACCCAAAACTATGATTTTTCCTTTACCAAACTTGACTGATTTCTGTGAGAATTTTGGGTCCATGTGGACTCCAATGGGTCTTCTGCAGTATTTGTGATGATTGGGATGCAGTTCAACAGATGATTCATCAGAAAAATCTACTTTCTGACATTTTTTCAAATGATAGTAGAAGTCAAGTCATTATTTGTTGCTTTTACAACAGGGATTGATGACAAGACTTTTGTCAGGGAGTGTACTGATAAAAAATAAAATTGTTATGCTGATTATCCTAATAAGCCAACAATGCATGCATAAACTTTTTATATAAGAGTAAATGTTTTGAGTGTAAAGTTATCAATACAGCTAGAACGAAACCAAAAAAAACAAGGTGTACATAAGCTTTACCTATAACTCGTGAACTTGTGATCATCTGGCCAATGTCATGGAAAACCTTCCGCAGGAGTTCCTGGGCTTTTTCCCACAATCCATAACGCATGCTGCTCAGTCCACAGACAGATAGGAAGCCCATGAGGGGGTTGTAAAGGAAGAGAGTAAACAGACTCCCACGCTGAGACTGGTCTATGAGCGAGCCAAGAAAAGACAACAACAGTGTTAAAAATACAATAGAGGAGCAGCATAATAATAGAAAAATACTACTTTAAAGAAAGAAAGAAAAAAAGCTTAGCAAATATCGCAATGTTTGATGTCTCAACACATTAGCACAACAAAAAAAGGAGACCTTGCATGCTCTTCGGATATACTGTTGGAGAAAGCAGGCAAACAAGGGGCTGGCCGAACAGATTGGAGAAATTCTGTGGTGAGACAGATGAAAAGAGTTATATTACATGACAAATACAGTATCTTTACATTTCAAATTCTAATTTGTCACATACATAATCATACACAGTAAAGCACGTGTTTAAATGCTTTTTAGGACTCTCCTAGATTTTAATATATATAATCATTCATTTTTCTTCAGCTTAGTCCCTTTATTCATCAGGGGTCGCAACAGCGGAATGAACCGGCAACTTATCCAGCATACAGTTGAAGTCAGAATTATTAAACCCCCTGAATTATTAGCTCCCCTGTTTATTTCTTTCCTCAATTTCTGTTTAACAAAGAGAAGATATTTTCAACACATTTCTAAACATAATAGTTTTAATAACTCATAATAACTGATTTATGTTATCTTTGCCATGATGATGGTAATGACAGTAAATAATATTTGACTAGATATTGTTCAAGACACTTCTATACACCTTAAAGTGATATTAAAAGGCTTAACTAGGTTAATTAGGTTAACTAGGCAGGTTAGGGTAATAATTATTGTAAGTTATTGTTTTATTAGGTCTCATTATTAGGTTCCCTGTGATATTTAATAATTTTGCAAGTGAATTATTAACAGAGCAAGGAACATTTTAAAGTATTTGTTATTATATTTTTTTTTCTTCAAAAGAAAGTCATATTTATTTTAGTCTGGCTGAAATAAAATACGTTTTTACATTTATATAAATGATTTTAAGATCAATATTATAAGCTCCCTAATAAAATTATTTTAATTGGCTACAGAATGTCCAATGACTTGCCTAGTTAAAATAATTAACCTAGTTAAGTTTAATACTAGTATTTTACAAAATAACTAGTAAAATATTATGTACTGCCATCATGGCAAAGACAAAATAACTAGATAAAAGAAATTAGTTTTCAAAACTATTTGTTTATGATTTTTTTAAATGTATTGAAAAAAAATGTATTTTTCACAGGAACAATTATAGTTTTGCCTTCAACAGCGAGTATTATAAGCTCACTGGACAATAAATATCACATACGAATGATGTGTATATGACACTTGAAATATTGTTTATTTTTGTAGCCAGTGATGGGCAAAAATACACTAAAATGTATTTCAAATTAAAATACCAAATACCTCAATTTTACATGTATCAAAATAAACTACAAAATACAGAGGCCACAACAAGTATAAAAAAACTGTATTTTGCATTTTAAAAATATTACAAAATACTTTTACATGGGAGTATAACATTTCTTTGCAAACCTTCTATCAGTAGGCATATTCAATCAATCCGTTCACCATTAAATTGACTTAGTGAAGTAAACAATGTTTGATAACAACAGCTTTTTTTCTGAGCAAGTTTAAGTCAGCCACTGTAGGACTTGTTTTTATGTTGTTTGTCTTATTTTCTTGGCATCTATATCAGCAATTCATTCAAAACTACTATTACATGTGCAGTTTACGCATCTCCCAAGATTTTTTTTAGTTTTGGTCATTTAACTGGAAAAGTCTCTCCCCCTTATTGAACACCAGTACACCATATTTAAGTGTTTTAATATTCGCAGAGTTCGTCTGAATTCCCACCTGCAGCACTGAGACTGAGAATGATTATTTGCTCAAGGCTCCACATCCTGTTCTTAAGGACTGATATTTTATTCCATCTCATTTCTTAAGCAAAGATGCATCATTTCCATCCATACTACAAGCGTTGACCACATTTCGTAATAAATTTTGTTTTATGACCTCAGGCTAAGGCAAATAACTGAGAAAGCATCAACCCGAGGGAGCATTTTATGCTGTCAAAGTATTTCACAGTATTTTAAAAATACAAAAATACAAGACACTAAAGTATTTTGATACAAAATATGAACCCATTTTCTTAAACCTAATCAAATACAAATTACAAAATACTATTTTGTATTTAAAATATGTATTTGAATTACTTGTATTATATATACTGCCATCCCTGTTTATAACCAGCTTATTTATTTATTTTAGTTTACTTTTTAATAATTTTAGGCGGCATGGTGGTGCAGTGGGTAGCCACACAGCAAGAGGGTCGCTGCTTCAAGCCTCGGCTGGGTCAGTTGGCGTTTCTGTATGGAATTTGCATGTTCTCCCCATGTTCGTGTGAGTTTCTTCCGGGTGCTCCGGTTTCCCCCACAAATCCAAAAATGTGGTACAGGTGAATTGGGTAAGTTAAATTGTCCGTATAGTGTATGTGTGTTAAAGAGTGCATATGGATGTTTCCCAGTGATGGGTTGCAGCTGGAAGGGCATCCGCTGAATAAAAAATATGTTGGATGAGTTGGCAGTTCATTCCACCGTGGCGACCCCATGATTAATAAAGGGACTAAGCTGAAAAGAAAATGAATGATTGAATTTTAGTAATTTTATTAGGAGAAATTTCCACTTTTATAAGCTGTGTGTTTTTTAGATACTCATACTGAGCCTTTTAAGAATTCTAACATTAATCTTACAAATTTGGAACTAGATAAAAACTTTAAGAGTAAATTCGCTCTACCTAAAGTGAATGTGTTATAAATGTACACAAGGGGGCGCTGCATTACTAATCTAAAGCAGCCGTCTATGGAAAATCATTTGAGGAAGAAAAACTGGAAACAAAGGGTGATCAAATCAGTCTCTGTGTTAAACAAAAACCTACAAGAGTGCTGTATTAAATTTCTGCATTAAAAGTGTCCTACTGTTGATTTCTTACTCTTCTTCTCGTGAAGATCTCAGATCGCCTTATTTATAGAGCAACCACATGGCAGCTCTTGAATAATGAATGGCCTCATGATGTCACAGATGCTGCAATGATGGACGAAATGTGAGCGTGTGACAGAAAAGAAAGGCGATGGAGAGCTGAAGTCTCACCTTATAAGCTGTGCTGTTGGAGGAGTCGACAATGATAAACAGAGGTTTCCTAGTGAAGGGGAAAAGGTCTCCTGGGTGGAGGCTGAAAAACACACATTTGCGCATGTATGCGGGTTAAAATAACAGCTCAGTGTCTCGTATGCATAGTAAGCACATTGTAGTTTCTATGTACAATAGGCTTGGTTGGCATAGAATAGGTGTCAATGAAGGCTCACCAGTGCATCTCTTTTTGTGCCTGGTTTCTTTTCTGCACCGTCTCACCATTCACCACATCTCGGTTAGTATTGGTCAGGACACCTCCAAAGTCATAAGGTCCTGTAGATTAAGAGAAACATTTGAATGTTAATATTTAATAAGAGTGATCTCCTAAATAAAATAATGAATGCCTTCTGTGAAGATGTAGATAAATGTAGATTTTCTGTGAATAAGTGTTTGATTTGTGATAAGCGAAGAAACATGCTCATATTTATTATTATTATTATTATTATTATTATTATTATTATTAATAATAATAATAATAATAATAATAATAACAATAACAATAATAATAATAATAACAACAATAATAATAATAATAATATGCCGGAAAATGTCAATCTATAATCAAATACAAGTGAAAAGCTAAGAAATTTAAATATTATATTATATTACATTATTCATTCATTTTCATGTCGGCTTAGTCCCTTTATTAATCCGGGGTCGCCTAAGCGAAATGAACCGCTAACTTATCCAGCAAGTTTTTACACAGCGGATGCCCTTCCAGCTGCAACCCATCTCTGGGAAACATCCACACACACATTCACACACTACGGACAATTTAGCCTACCCAATTCACCTGTACCGCATGTCTTTGGACTGTGGGGGAAACCGGAGCACCCGGAGGAAACCCACACGAAGGCAGGGAGAACATGCAAACTCCACACAGAAATGACAACTGACCCAGCCGGGGCTTGAACCAGCGACCCAGCGACCTTCTTGCTGTGAGGCAACAGCACTACCTACTGCGCCACTGCCTATATTATATTATATTATATTATATTATATTATATTATATTATATTATATTATATTATATTATATTATATTATATTATATTATATTATAGGTAGTCATGGTGTACATGGTTTTCTATGCGTTTTAACAAAAAATTAAATAAATCATAAACTGTTGTTTGTCCTTTTTGTCAATTAAATTTGTTAACTGCAAAAATATAAATGTTAACATAGTTTAGTGTTTTCCTCTCATCAATATAATTTTTTTCTCATTTTTGATGGTATATTTAACATATAACTAACAAAAACAACACAACAAAAAATAATGTATAAGGGCAGATACAGAATTTTCTTTTTGGCCAATACTTAATATTCGATTGGATTGAAAATTAGACATTACTATAAGCAAAAATTTCTGTTAATGTATTTACATCATATCAGTCTGTGCTGTCTTCTGTTTTAAATATGAAACATCATAAATAATTAGCCAGGTTTCAAATTAGGTGGGTTTCCATCAAGTTTTTAGAGCTTTAGAGTTGTTAGTATTGGTCACCTGGCAACCAATAGTAAATAAGGCGAGCATATTGGAGATGATTATTAATCACATGGGTGTACTGTTCGCTACATCAGAGCTTTTTCGGCACTTGCGTTTCCCTCTTCCATTACTCGCATTACCCTTCTTTGCCAAAACACCTCATGTAAGTGCAAAAGCATATTTAAATTTGAAATGACTGTTTTCATTATTTTTCTCATGCGATACTTTAAAATGCGCATTAACACAGGGGGATGTAAACCCAGCTATTGAGTCCTCTAATTCCTCTAATCACACTAGAACATGAATCAATACTGAGTAAAGAACATGTGTGCTTAAAGAAGTCCCCAAGAAATCAAAAATAACCATATGATTATGTTCGCTCACTTTGCTAGTTTTGTGGCGAACAAGTCATCTGTGCATGTCATTAAGAGAAAAAAAGTTTGCGCTTCTAATCTTTAATGGAAATCTGAAAATGCATGTCCTGTTTTTTTCCTGTTTGTTAGCAATTGGGCGTGGCTAACATACTTAACCACGCCCCTCCAACTGTCAGTTTTTACAACAAACAGAAATGGCGATGCCTGAGATGCCTACTTTACTATATGAATGGCTGACGTAAAACTGACGTTCTTGTTAACTTCCAGCCACAACCATGTCTGATCTGGCAACAACCCTGTTTTATGACCAAAACAAGACATATTTATTCACAAAGTGTTTATTCGGATATCAGACCAATGTTGAAACAAAAGAATACAAGAACAAAGCATTTCAAACTGATATTAAGCATTTCAAAATAGCTATATCAGCCTGGATTCGAATCCACTATCCCTGCATGGTAGTCGGGAAGCCTTACAGCTCCACTAAACCACTTGAGTTTAACTCTACAAAGTAGGGTTTAATCCCTTCATTTGCTCAACTTTTCTTTGCTAAAGCGGTTTCAGTGCAATACATAAAAAAATGACCAATAGGTGTCACTGAAGAGTGGGGTTTTGAAACGTTTCGAAGCTTTGACACATTTGCTTCGACGGTTTTAGTGTTTCATGAAGCCTCACTTTGCCCACCACTACTTTACTACATCCATTCAACTCACAGTAGAAAAAAAAGCCACACCCACTGTTTTATCATTTAATATTCCGTTTCTCTAGAAATTACGTCACAATACGAAAAAAAGTTAACGGTCGCATCTTCCAGTTCATTGGAACTTTAATTAGTGTCTATAATCAGTGAGGACCATCTGCAGCTGTGTGTAATCAAAGCTCATGAACAGCAGGTGTGAGGTGCTGAGGTTTATGGGATGTGTAGTCTGGTTCAGTGGCAGATGTGATGTGTAGAGCGTCCTCTAGTGTGTCTGGTGGGCACTCAACTTGGTGACTATATAAAGCTGACATGCAGACATGACAAATGACTAATTTGATTGACTGAACAGCATTCCAAGAGCGCTTACATTTACAAGACACTTCTGTAAACATTACGAAAACAATATTCCAGATCGTCTGGACTGAAAAGCAATGTGCTAAAAACACAATGGTGTACCTTCACTCTCAGAGCGTCCAGTGGGGAAAACTCCAGTGGCAGAGAGATACACCAGCAGGACACTATTGGCCGGCAGCTCCTAGCAATGAAAGAATCGGTGAGAGAATAGAAAACCTTTAATGACTAGAATGAAAAAGTAAATCCATTTAATCAGCTAATTAAATGAGAACATTTACAATACTACTAACAGGAAAGCAGGGTCACAGCAAGCATAGTTATTAAGTTCAGTGCTACACTGCCAGAGCATCTCAGTGCAGCCCTTAAGACAAAATATATTTCAAAATGCAGCATTTAAGAACTCATCTTTGCATGCAGACACACACACCATAGCTAATGATAGGAAATGTTTCCCGAAGCACATGCAAGATCCTATGACAATTATTCATCTAAACAAAACATGATGCAAGAAAAAGAAAAGAGCCTAAAAATAGTGGCGTCTGAGTGTTAAAAATGAACACTGCACAAGCATGTAAGATCTGAGTCATGTGTGCGTGTGGGTTTTCCTCACACTCCTGAGGTGCTACGCTTCAGCGGAGCAACAGGCAGAGCCGATAGTAACACAGTAACACCCCTGTAGCACTCCATGCAGCCACACTCACAATCACACATGAGGCAACACTCAAGACAACACAACTCAAACATCACCATAATGCACTGATAATACAAGAAACACAGCTTTAAAACATCTTTTTGATGTTTGTCTCATATTTTTGAAATTATAATGAGCTATTGGGGCTGTGTTGATGTATTTTGTACTGAAAGAGGTCTTCGGAATTTGTGAAAAATCCATTTTTTAGTAGCTATAATTTTAGACATTTTTTTACACAGGGATTTATAATAATTTATAGCTATGAGCTGAATCACAACATTTGATTTCAAGCTAATATATCTACGAGGGAAACAATACTGCATACTGCATATCAAGTTTATTATCAAAGATGCATAGATGCAAAGATGAAGTATTTTGGTATTTTTAAAGAGTAAGAAGATGATCAAGCTATTTACAGTCCTAAAAATCTTATTTTTATGTGTGTGCTTTGCAGATGGGTTAACCATACGTTTAAAGGGGACCTATTTAACCCCTTTAACAGGATGTAAGATAAGCCTTTGGTGTATGCAAAGTTTCAGCTCAAAATACCGTCATATAATTTATTATAGCCTCTAGAATCTACCCATTTTGGTGCATGAATACATTGTAGATGTTTTTGTAGCTTGTGGTTGTAAATGCAAATAAGCTACTTCTCCCTGCACCCTATTCCCACTTGTGTGTCTGCTTCTCATCATGCTTTACGTCAGATAAACAGCACTTTGATGAAGCTGAAATACAGCTCAATAGTAAAAAATACCAAGTTTAATTGATGTACTTGTGGTGGAGTTTATTCAAGCCTTTCTGAAATGATGAGTCTTACATAAATGCCTTGCAGTACACACACACATGGTGGTTATATTGGTTAAAAATTACATGGCAAATTTACTGTCTGACAAACATGCTGTTTTAAAACGTTATAATCTTCTAAAACATAAAAGTCACAGAAAGTTGTAACAAATTCTGTGGACATGTGTATACATGTTAATATACAAACATGGCGCCTGTCAATCAACTTAAGGGGTAGGGAAAACTACACTCCTACGTCACATTTCTGTGGGCCTCAAAATCACTGGGATTTGGTTCCTATTTTAATATCAGGAAATAAAAAAAGAGACTTGCTGGGTTTATATCAGTCCAATTTGACAGTGGACACACTACACAAACAGTTTGTTCGGTCCAAATAGCAACAGACATCAGTCTGTCTATGGCAGAGGTGTCCAAACTCGGCCCTGGAGGGCCGGTGTCCAGCAGATATGAACTCCAACTTGCCTCAACACACCTGCAAGAATGTTTCTAGAAAGCATAGTAAGAGCTTTATTAGCTAGCCCATGTGCGTCTGATTGGGGCTGGAACTTTGCAGGATAACGGCCCACCAGAACCGAGTTTGGACACCCCTGATCTATGGGTCTTAAGTTTAAGTGTTTACCATATTTACTTTTACCATTTCTTATTAGAGCTGTGTTATATTGTGAAGTATAATTAAAATTTATAATAGCTGTTTACAATTTTCTATACATTAAACCATACAAACATATTTATTAAAGGTATTAATTTGTGTGGTGAATTCAGAAATCATTCAATATTGTGATCCAGAAAGCAGTTCCACATTTTTTTGGTGAAAAAAAAAGTATTTACTTTAAAGAAAAATCTATTTTGAATTTTTGAAATGAAATTACATATTTTTTATCTTTATTATAAACTTAATTATTATTTAAAACCCTTACATCTGGTCCTTTATCAATATGCTAGCGTACTACATGGCACAACTTTTAGTATCAACTGGACGTAAACGACAGCATGGATTATTAACAATGAACTGACAGGTGCTAAAAAGAGCCAAGACATCAGCCAAACCTTGAAGGAGGCAGACAGGAAAGTGTAGAGCTGGCTGAAGGTTGGTTTGTAGAGGAGATATTTATGAGGGTTCTCTCTCTTGGCCGGCTTTTCATTGGGCTCCTATAATGAGAGAGATAAATGAGTGAGAGAGGAATCGAGAGACACAGAGAGCAGGCGGAGCGAGAAACAACAGTGAGAGAGACACCGAGAAAGGTGAAGTACTGAAATAGCGAGGGAGGAAGGGTGAAAATACTCAGAAACACTCAACATAGAGAGTGACAGGGAGAGTGTAAGAGTCTTCTCTTACAAGTGTCCCTGGTTTGGAGCTTTGCGTAGCCAGGTTCACCGGTTCCCTCTCAAGCGCTTGAAGCATTCGAAACATATCGATGGTCAGCTCGCTGAACTTCACCTGCAAACCAAAAGAAACCCAATCATTGCAACAACAAAAAAATGACTGAGATAAAACACGTTAGATAAACCTACACCACAAATTTGAAGTGTCTAATCATTTACATAAGACAGAACTGCTTGAATATGACATATTATGTAACTAGTTAGGTGTTTTGCTGTACTGTACTCCCACCTGGTTATTACAGTTGCCAACGATGAGAGCATCTGCCAAGGTGAGCTGGCCAACCACCATGCCCTGCTCCAGAGGGGGCACACCTCCCTCCTGCAGCCGATTGGAAAGGACCACCACAGCATTGTCATCATTCAGGATCATCAGAGGATCGGCCTGTGTAGAAATAAACAGTACATTTGTGGATATGTAATGTAATGTATTTTTTATTTATTGCAATGTCAGCAACCAAGGCTATTTTCATGGCAAGAACATTTCAATATTAAATATACAATTAATAACAACAAACAAATGAATACATAAATTAAACAAGATTTTAATGTTAATACATGACAAGTATTTTTCCTGGTGTCACTTTGTTAAAATTGTCTTTAAGAGAATTTCTTTAACAAAAGTCTTCTGGAATCATTAAAGGACAGTCCAGTAAAATGTGTACATTTTTGTAAAGGTTTAAACATATTTGGCAAACAAAAGTGTTTGTTATATACAGTCTAACAGGAGGCACTAAACCCGGCCTTTAAGTAACAGTCAAGACATCATTTACACTGGAAAAAAATCTTACTCCCTACTCATGTTTAGTTGAATCAAATCAAATTATGTTGCAATCTTAACTTTCATTAGTCAAACTGACTAAAAATACGAAGGTAAACGTATTAAAATATTAATATCAAAATAAGATTATTAACATAAAGTAATAAAGCATTAATAAAGTAAAACATTTGTTGTCATGACTTCTTGTCATATCATTTTTACAGAGTAAGAATAGGAATAGTGGTCTTACAAGAGCATGTTTGACTTGTTGACATGTTTTGTTAGTATTGTTAAGGGATTGTTTACACAAAAATAAAGATTTACTTACTATTTACTCTCCCTCAAGTTGTTCCAAACCTTTATGAGTTTCTTTCTTCTGTTGAACACAAAAGAGGGTATTTTGAAGAAAGTGGAAAACCATGGACTTAATACGTAAAAACTAATTCTATGAAAGTCAATGATTTAAGTTTTCCAGCTTTCTTTGAAATACCTTCTTTTGTGTTCAACAGAAGAAGAATCTCAAATAGAACAGTGAGTAATTGATGACAGAATATTAATTTTGGGGTGAATTTTTCTTTAAGTTAAAGGGTTAGCTCAACCAAAAATGAAAATTCAGTCATTATGAATAAGGGTTTAAAATGCATTGGTAAACAGCAGAATGAACCAACCATTACTTTTAGATGTAATCCCAACACTAAGAGCAAAATAAAGTGTATAGTGGGTGTTGCCCAGGACTGGGGGTAGTCCTATGAAACACCCAGTATACACTATGGCCGACTTAGTTTGTCCAATCCACCTACATCGCATGTCTTTGGACTGTGGGGAAAATGGGATCACTCAGAAAAAAACCCAAACAGACATGTTGAGAACTTGCTCCACACAGAAACACCACCTGGTCCAGCCAGGACTAGAACCAGTGACCCTCTTGCTTTGAGGCAACAGTGCTAACCACCATGCTGTTCAAATATCATACAGCCATGTATCCAAACTGTTATTGCTCTTGTTATTTCTCTTATAGCTGCCATTGAACTAAAGGTTTCTCACATTTACAGAAGTTTAAGTAGTGGGTCAAAAAATAATATTATACAAAATTAGTTTATTTTCCTCTAAACATTAGCAATAGGTAGAAAAAAAGATATTACATTACATCCTATTTCACATGGCAATTCTGTCATATCCTGGTGACTTGTGTGCATTTGTACTGATGCTGCTTTTATGCATGCTTTAAAAGATTCCAAAAGCCCACCTCCACAAAAGCTGCTACTTCCTGCAGCACCAGATTCCACTCTAACTGGTCCTCAGTGTTGAAGCGCTGGGTGTAGTCCTCAATCTCCTCCGAAAGTTCCTGCAGAATTCACCGCAGGTGCTCTCAGACACAACAATAAACAGCAAACCGTGCTTTTTCAAACAGTAAACAGCATACGGTGAGTATGGGGATTACTCCTTTGTAAAACATAAAACATAAAACATAACATAACATAACTCAACATAACTCAGACATAAAACACAACAGAAAGATGCTTAAATAAAAAAGGAGGAAATTTAATTTTAAATAAAATAAATAATAGATAGATTTTTTAAATGCTATAATTTTTACAAAATGTATATGACTAATGGATAAACAGTATGCAATTTGACAGTGCCAAAATTGATGAGGCATGAATTTTGTCTTTATTCCAGCAGCATAAGTGGCCAACACACTGTCTGTGCTGAATTATATTTTTTTGGCAAGAACCTCAGTTCAAATCAAAATCTATAGTAAGCCATAGACGAAATAACTGGTCTATTTGATCTGCTGTCCTTTACTTACCTTAACCAACACCTTAACCAGGTCCATCTTGTTGAGCAACAGACAAACAACGATAAACCGAGCGTAATACCTCAGCTTTTTTACAACCAGCTCTGGCCTGTGCAAAGAAGATGGGACAAGATTAATCAACAATATAAGATAGAAATATAAGTTTGTTACTTTGTTCGTTATGATTTATTTTAGCTTCTTTTCACCTGTCTTCTTTGTTGACCTGGTGGTAATATGACCGTTGGCGAATTGCCGAATAGAAAGAGAAGGCTTCATTTAGGTAGCTTGTTTCTGAAGTGCGGAGGCTGAAAAAGAAGAATATGATAAAGCTAACAACATCAAAAAGAGAAACATGCAGAATAAATAGCTGTGTTAAAAAGGCTCCTTACTAGTAATGGTAGTACAACTGGCCAATTTTTGAGGCCACTTCACCTATCTGCCACCTCTTGAGACCATACCGGTTGTCCAGGACTTGTCTATTCTCCAGTAATGCAAAGCCAAATAAGAAATCATCTGTTATTAATGTTGACATCATTGGTGCAGAAGAACAATCAGAGGGAAGTCTGACCATGCACGTTAAATCTTTAGATCTACAAGCCAAGGAACCAACTTTTATTTCTGAGCTTCTGATAAAAAAAACAAACCTTTCTGTCTCAAAAATAGCTCTATCTAGAGGGCTGACCTGTGCTGCTGCTGAAACTTCCACAGCTTGGTGTAGACGTCAAACGTTCGGCCAAAATAGGACTGCCACTGCTTGTGTCCATATTGAGGCAGATCCCTGCAGGAGTGTGAAAGAACAAACAAGAGAAACGAAGCCAAATTCAGTATAATGATACGTTCTCCTCAATTGCTGTTACTCAAGCCTCAATGTAATGCTTTTAGGAATTTTTGACATTAAATGCTCAATTAAATGATCAAGTTCTTGTGTTTACACAGTCAACATTTGGACAGGAAGATATGCCACTGGAATTAGAAGTAAGAATAAGTATGGAGAAAGTATATAGTAAGGATTGCTTGATTGCTTGATATCATCATTTTGTATTTGGAAAGACCATACTGGAATTCAGTACCAACCAATACTGGAATTTTAAAAATGGCCATTTCCCGCTAATTTGAGACACTGTTAAGCACGTTCTTATACTGCTGATTCGCCACTGTATTCACATGCTCAACAGAAATGACTATGATTGGTCATAAAGGTCATCAGTTCACAGAACTCACCGCAGTTTACTGAGTGTAACCACAGATACAGGGACACTAGAGCATTTTAAAGCTGTGATTCATCAGTGGATCGCTCATATGTGAGCTTTTAGACAAAGCAGCTGATTGACGTGACTTTGAAATTCTTAAGTGTCCCTATATTTGTAGTTACACTTAGTAAACAGTGGTGAGTTAGGTGAACTGATGAACTTCACGGCCAATCACAGTCATTTCTGTTGAGTGCAATGGCAAATAAGCCATCAGGAAGCAAGCTCAACATCAGGAAATGGATGTTTTTAAAACTTCAGTACCGATTGATATTGAATTCCAGTATTGTGACAACCCTACTAGAGCATAATACCACAGTATGGATATTAAAGTGATACTATATACAACAGGTTCCAAACAATTGTCACAGTTATGCCTAGGAGGAAAATCTATTCTTAGTAATGAATGCAATAATAAGTTCATACATCAATTCTCCCAGTCACATAACTCAATTACTCATAGAGGAAAGTTTTTATGGGGTTCTATAATAGTTAACATCCACGTGATATTTGCACCTTTTGTAAGAATGAGTGTGAAGACATTTGTCACTTGTTTTTGTCATGCAATGTATCATAATTGTTTTGGAATGATCTACGTTTATATTGCTTTTCCAAGGTTAGTATGAGTGGTAGTTTGCATCTTAAGGATGTTATTAGTAATTTTGAAAACCAAAACAAGTCGTTACAAGCCACTGTGTACTTTCTTATACTTGCTGGGAAATTTGACTTTCACAAACAGAGGTTCCTTTAAAAAATTCTATTTTTATAGACTTTCTACGTGAAATAGAACATTTCATTAAATCACTTAAATTAATTGATAATAAGAAACCTGCTTCTTTTTGAGTTAACATTATGAGATACACTACAAAAAAAGTTCTTACTTAGATTTTTTGTCTTGTTTCTAGTCCAAATATCTACAAATTCTTAAATCAAGAAGCATTTTCTAGACAAGCAAAACATTTTGTCTTGTTTTAAGAAATAATATGCCAAAATTAAGTGAGTTTTTCCTTAAATCAAGCAAAATAATCTGCCAATGGGGTAAGCAAAATAATCTTATCAAATATCGCAAAACAATATTATTTTGCTTACCCCATTGGCAGATTATTTTGTTTGATTTAAGGAAAAACTCAAACTTTTTTGCAGTGTATTTAATGCTACTTGAATCTTTACCTTTTTTATTGCATTATTATTTCTTTTAACTTTTTAATGTACTTTTTGGTTTTGCTCTATATCTTGTGTCTCTAATGTGAATATTGTGTAAAGGAACTGTTCACTTTTACTGTATTCTGAGTTGTATTATACAGTTTCTTAAAATAAAAAAATAAAAATAAAAAAGAGATACTATATGCAACAAATAACGAACAATTTGTGAAGCACTGGTGAACATTAAAACAGCAACGTGTTAAAATGTATTTACCAATTGTTTATAGATAATATATACCGCTATTTCCAGTACTATCCAGAGTATTCATACAGAATATAAAAGTCACAATGCAATCTAGTTCAGAGGCCTAGATTTATCCACTGGTTGATGATTGGATGATGGCAGATTTGAAGGCAAGCTGACATTTCATTTTAGGAAGGGACTTGGTTTAAATTTGGACTAAATGACTTGGGAAGTCCAGAAAATGTCACCAGAAAGATCACACACATATAGACAAAAACAAGGATTTTAATAATAGATGAAGTGATAAAAAAAAATTCACTTTGTGGGAGCGTCTCAAAGACAATTTGAATGAGTGACTAAAATCAAGACCCTTGTAAATAACAATAACCTTATTTGATGTTAAATAAAATGTGCAATCCTATCACATTTACTTCTTAGGGGCTATTTAACCCTGCAATTATGATGCAATTTCATCAATCTGATCACAACAAAACTAAACGCAGAGGCAAAACGTGTACTTCCAACCACTTTCTGAGGTTGAAAACGCATTTGATCGGCTTGCATTAAGAGCATAAACAATCATAGGGCTGAATGCATTCAAACAGTCACAAAAGATCACTTTGCAGACCCAACATGTAATTTTCGTAGGTAGTATTCTAAGAAATTGCACCAAAACAATACGGATTATGATCAAAATCATAGTTGATCATACACTTTTTTTTCATTTGATTGCTTTCCTGCTTACTAATATGCCATATAACATGGACTATGTTGTTACGGTGGCGCAATGGGTAGCACAATTGCCTCACGGCAAGAAGGTTGCTGGTTCAAGTCCTGGCTGGGCCAGCTGGCATTTCTGTGTGGAGTTTACATGTTCTCCTTGTGTTCGCATGGGTTTCCCCGGGTGCTCCAGTTTCCTCCACAGGCCAAAGGCATGTTGTGTAGGTGAATTGAAGCCCAAAGTGTATGTAAGTAAATGCAAGTGTGTATGTGTGCTTCCCAGTGTTGGATTGCAACTGGAAGAACATCCGCTGCATAAAACATACGCTGGATAAGTTGGCGGTTCATTCCGCTGTGGCAACCCCAGATTAATAAAGGGACTAAGCCGAAACAGAAAATGAATAAATAAATGAACATGAACTTTACATACGATAGTAGTGTATCAGTTTATTTAGAGAACAAAAAATGAAGCATGGAGAATCAGATAATGCTGTTTCCCTTGTATCTCCACACAATACACAATAGAATCTGCTTTTTGAATGTGATCGAGGTCCTATGACTCATTGCTTTAATGACTGGTTTGTTTTACAAACAGTTGTATTAAAACCCACGTATAAACCATTTCTACCTTGACACTCATAATCCAAAACAACAGCAGAAGAGCCTTTCAAACACACAAGTGGTCATGGCTGTCATGGACTTATAATCAACATTGTTGCAGCGATGATAAGAGGACATGGGTGGTGGGGGAGAGCAAAAACAGCAATCAGAGAGAGTCAGAAAGTGCGAGTGTTTGGGCAGGGCTGTGGTGAGTCATAGTGCTACTGATGATGTGAAGGAATTTGATGAGCTATGGCAATCAGCTGGAGAAGTAGCTCTTTTAGCTCCGTCGCCTCTGCTCGCTCTTTCTTTCGTCCTTTTTCCCCCCGAACCCTCCCAAAACACCTCTAGGCCCTATTGTTATCATCAGAGGGTTGCTATGACAACAGAAGCAAGGGCTGGAGAAGGAAGGGAGGTTGCGAATGTAGCAGGTAATGCAAAAATCCCTCATTTACACATGCTCCCACATGATAAACCTGTATCGGGTCATTCAGGGAGAGGTGAGGAGACAAAAGATAGTGTCCAAGAATGCCCTCAAGTTAATTCACAATGCTACAAACGTCAATTAAACGCTTGCGCACAAACACACCTCCTTTCATTCATGTTGATTTGGTTCAACACGGCGGAGCTTGTGCGCATTTGATTTCTAGACCTTTCATTCATAACATGAATTTCTAAGCGCTGTGAGGTTATAAAAGGTAGATCTGCGAGATTTACGGTTCACCTTGTTGCCCTTGTGGGCTGAGAGAGACAAGGTCAGGAAGGAGATAGGTGCAGTCATTAGGCAGGGCTTTAATTTCACTACATGCACCATTAATTTCCCATCCTCTCTGACAGCATTAATACCCACAAGACAGATTCACTGTCAGAGCTCAGCCAGGGACAGACCTGTAAATTAGGGACGGCAGGAAAGGAGGGAGATGGACGCTGTGTGTGCAGATGGGGTCAGATGTGGTATGGTTGAGTAAAGCCCGGGACACAACAAGTCGACATCAAAAAAAAAGTAGTGGTGATGTCTGATACTGTCTGGACCAAAAAGCTGCTTGTGAACACACCAAAAGGACAACAGCAGACTGAAACGAGAATGCTTGGTCTGCGTGAGAGGATTCATCTTTCCATGCCTGAAGATTGCAGCATTATCATTCCACAAAGGGAAACCAGAACTACTGTAGTGCTGCACACATATAAACAGTAAACAAAGCAGCATTTACGCACCGGTTATACAGTAGCTACTTTTCGCTTACAACAGAGTTAGAGTGGCCAGAGGCACTGTAATGTTAAAGCAGAGAAAGCTAAATGCGGTCCAAAACGCTTGTATTTACACAGAGCTTCTTCTGTTTCTGTATTTTGGCTTTCAAAGGACACGACAGAAAGAGAAAAATTATTACAATTTAATTTTAATTATGTTCCAGTGAATTATATAGAAAAAAGATATAGCTAGCATTTGACAAAGGAGAACTTCCAGAATCTCTCCCAGTTCAGTTCTGGATTCGGCTAAAACTCTCCAATAGACGAAGCTGTGGATTGTGAGTCACAACCTGTATTTTTATTGGTTAAAATTGATCAATGTTTTGATGATTCTGCGATTCATCAAAACATTGGCAATATATTCTAGAACTGATATAACTATACTGATTATATCTTCATAATATTATATTTCACTGTTATACCAATATGTAAGAAAAATTTGGTGGTTGATTAACTATGCCTTTAAAAATCAAAACAACTGAAAACATTTGTTATTTTGACCAAATGGTATTTTCTGACAAAACAAAGTTCTAAATGACAACATTTTTAATAAGAAATGTCAAATTTGATTAGAGT